GCCACACGATCCCGCCTGCCCCGCAAGCCACACGATCCCGCCTGCGAGCAGGAACGAAGATGCTCCCAGGCTGCTGGGAAGGACCCTCAGAAAACGGCCTGGGCCGCCACACTTCTCCACCCCTGGGCAAGATACAAGGTCATGTTTCTGGGTGACCGTTTGATGTTTACCGTCCCTAGCGGACCTTAACTTCATGGAGAAGGGGACCCTGCCCGCGCTTCTGAATCTGCCTCTAGCCCCTGACCAGACGCACAGTGGGTGGGAAGCTCGTGCTCAGATGAACGAGTGACTGGACGGATGAACCAGCTTGCTAGCCTGCTTCCCAATACCTAAAGCCACTTGCTAGTAGCCATCTGGCAACTCCATGAATGAAAGAAAAGTAAACAGGACTACACAAGTGAACAGGAAAGTGAATGCAATGTTTCTTCATTAATTTTTACAATGTCCTTTTGTTACAAGACACTAAGAAGTCAAATGCTGAAGAAGCAAAGAATAAGGTCCCTGGCCTTTTAAATGAACCTCGGTACAGAGCCAATCAGGAACGCAGACTCCGCAGGGCAACGGAAGCAGCTGGATTGGCTTTTCTTTTATGTACAAGCCAAACATTATGTAGAAATTACACGCTTTTCCTTCATGTTTTCTTTCTACCATATATCGGTATAAAAAGCAAATAAACAAAGTAAGCCCTAGGGCAAAAAAGAAGCCAGAGAGTCATCGAGATAGCTGAATAAACTGAGTCTGCGAGCGGGCAGTCGCCCTGCTGGCTGGGTGTGTCCCCTGCCAGGCCCTCCCCAGACCTGTGGGCAGAGCGGGCAGGGGCCCTGCTGGCTGGGTGCATACCCTGCGAAGCCCTCCCCAGACCTGTGGGCAGAGCGGGCAGGGGCCCTGCTGGCTGGGTGTGTCCCTTGCGAGGCCCTCCCCAGACCTGTGGGCAGAGCTGGTGTGTTCCATGACGCCCCAGGACCTGACTTGCTTCCATTTTAATGACAAAATGTTCCAGTGTTGTGGTTAAGTCGAGGCTCTCAGGTCCCAAGATGGGGGATCCAGTCCAGGCTGTGCCCCTTTGGGTCAAGCTACGTCATTTCTCTAAGCCTCGATTTCTTCAACATTATATAAACCTTACAATGTTTAACTTACCTTGAGGATTTTTACTTTGTTATTGTTAGGGATTGCTAAATACTGAATAAAACTCCTCTTCAGCAACTACTTTTATCACTAACAATGAGAGTGCTTGTGATTTAAGTGAAAAAAAAAATATAAGAAACCATATACCATATAACTACTATATAAAATATGCAGAGTAACCCTGATTTTATTTTTAAAATGTATCTTCATATGAAAATATTTGAAGGACAAAAAAATCGCAACAGTCACAGAAGTTGCAGCATCACAGGTATTTGCTTTTCAGATTCCATAAAATTCAAATACTTTTTTTTCTTTGAGACAGTGTCTCGCTCTGTCACCCAGGCTGGAGTGCAGTGGTGCGATCTCAGCTCACTGCAACCTCCGCTTCCCAGATTCAAGCAGTTCTCCTGCTTCAGCCTCCTGAGTAGCTGGGATTACAGGCACTCGCCACCACACCCAGCTAATGTTTTGTAATTTTAGAAGAGATGGGTTTTCGCCATGCTGTCCAGGCTGGTCTCAAACTCCTGGCTTCAGGTGATCCACCTGCCTCGGCCTCCCAAAGTGCTGGGATTACAGGCGTGAGTCGCCACACTTGGCCAAAATCTGAATACTTAATGAGAATGTATTATGTCTTTTTTTCTTTTTGAGACGGAGTTTTGTTCTTGTTGCCCAAGCTGGAGTGCAACGGCGCAAGGTCAGCTCACTGCAACCTCCACCTCTGGGGTTCATGTGATTCTCCTGCCTCAGTTTCCTCAGTAGGTGGGATTACAGGTACATGCCACCACAACCAGCTAATTTTTTTGTATTATTAGTAGAAACAGGGTTTCACCATGTTAGCCAGGCTGGTCTCAAACTCCTGATCTCAGGTGATCTGCCTGCCTCGGCCTCCCAAAGTGCTGGGATTACAGGTGTGAGTCACCGTGCCCGGCAGAGAATATATTATTTCTAAAACATGAAACTGGAATGGAAATCTCCTGTGCCTATGAACACAGACGTACGTCACAGCACTACCTGGGGAGGTGTGACATGGGCTGTCACAGCAACGGAAACGCTTTATCTAAATATTTTAAAGTAAAAATATTTAGAAATATCAGTCCTTATTCTCCCCTTGCCAACCCCCCAACTTGACGAAAACGAAACACTTCCAACACAGAGGTGGCTGCCTGTCCTCAGACTTGAACGTGCTGGGTATGGTATGGAACTCAACCCAAATTCTTACCCTGAAATCCCGACCCTCAGGGGGAAAGTGGGGCCTCTGCCAGGTGACTGATCACAAGGGTGGCGCCCTGTGATGGGTTAAGCGCCTTTATGGGAAGGGACAGGCGAGGGCTCATGTCCTCTGTTCTCCACTATGTGAGCACACAGCCCACCAGGAGGATGGCCCTCAGCAGGCACCACATCCACCAGCACCTGGCCCTGGACTCCCATCCTCCATAACTAGGAAAAACAAAAGTCTGTTGTGTAAGCCACTGGGTCTTGTTAGAGCAGCCAGAACGGACGAAGATAGGCTGTATGGCAGGAAGGCACCATCATCCTGACATCCTCCAGTATTCGTTAACTGATAACATTATTTTTATAAGGAACGTTCATCAATTTATGGAAAACTCATGTATGTTAACCGTGATAAATACAAAAGCAAAGGAGTCACCGTGCAGACTCAACTTATCCAGACAGCTGAGTCCCTGATATCCTGCATCGGGGACTGGCAGGCTCTCTGCACGGGCCAGAGAGGAAATATTCTGGGCTCTGCGGGCCGCAAACACCCTCATCTCTGCTGCCACAGCTGGAGACAGCCCAAACCCGGTGCAGCCCATCGACACCAAGCGTGGCTCTGTGTCACCAAAAGCCTATTTACAGCCAGGCGCGGTGGCTCATGCCTATAATCCTAGCACTCCGGGAGGCCAAGGTCGGCGGATTGCCTGAACTCAGGAGTTTGAGACCAACTTGGGCAACATGGTGAAAATCCCGTCTCTACTAAAATATAAAACATTAGCCAGGTGTGGTGGCGAGTGCCTGTAATCCCAGCTACTGGGGAGGCTGAGGCACAAGAATTGCCTGAACCTGGGAAGTGGAGGTTGCAGTGAGCCGATCACACCCCTGCACTCCAGCCTGGGTGGCAGAGTGAGACTCTGTCTAAAAAGAAGAAAAGTCTATTTATGAAAACAGGCAGCTGGCCTCATGCGTGGGCCTGGGGACGCTTCATCTACAACGCTTTACTTCAACATTCACGGGGCCTCAGCAGCGCGGTGGCCGACAGTGACCTTGTTCCGTGAGGGTTCACCTCTCGGAAGAGCTCCAAGGGCCTCCCTGCACAGTTCTTCCACGTCTTACTAACATGTCACTAACGTTCACCGGCACGGCTTGACATGAGGTTTGCTCCCCACAGGACGTTCTCCCAACAGAGGCGGCACGAGGTGCCCGGAATAAACGTGAGTGGAGGGAAGAAGGGGCTGTGGGCCCCCAGCGACTTCGTGCTGCCTCTCAGGGGAACCCTGTGCTTCTTCAGCACTGGCACTGGAAAAGGCGAGAAGAAACGTTGAAGCCGTGAAGGACTAACTAGGACCAACGTGCCGAAGTGCAGCTGAGTATCTGAGAGGCAGAGATGCCCGGGAAGAGACGGCAGGCTCAGAAAAGGAACCTCACTGCTACAGGAAAGAAAACGTGAAGTCTGAGAACTGACGGAACTGATGTCATCTTTGAAACTGAGTTGAACAGTGAACGTATAGAATCTCTACAACGGCATCTGAAGACTAATTGAAACATTTAAAAGAACAACACAGGTTGCCCCATTTGGAGGAGGTCCCGGAACAGTCCCATAGTCCCTGCTTTCATAGTTGGTCTTCGGGGTCAGGGCGCGGCGAGTCCTCCATCTCCTCCCAGCTCCGAGCGGCTCTGGCACTCTCCGGAGAGCCCCAGTGTGGCTGCCCTGCTCTGCCCCCAACAACCCCCTCGGCACCAGAGCAGGGACACAGGTGGCTCGGCCCCCATGGATTTAAACCAGAAGGGGAGAGGACCCTACAAGTGATTTCCACCACTCCGCCAGCAGTGCGACCCTCTGCCAGAACACCAGGCCTCTCCCAAGCTCCCAGGTGGAAAAGACTGGATTTAGAAATATCAGTCTTTATTCACCCCAGACCTTCCTATCCCCAGGGTGACGCCACCTCCCCCGCCCACCCCACGCATGTCCACAGGCTCCTCCCTCATAGCCGACGTCTGGAGCTACCATCATCCGCCAGTATCTGACCCCCTTGCAGAACCTCAGCTCTTCTAGGAGAATTGTCTGTCTGATTTGTGGCCGTTCCTGAAGGCAGATGATCAATAATGAATAAAATCACCTAAAAACAATTCCAAAAGGCTGGTCCTCACTCGCGGCTGTGAGTCCTACTGTGTCATGTTATTATGTTTTTGGTGGGAAAGTCCAAACTTGATACTCTCTCTCCTCCGTTCAGTTCTCTCCTCAAAGCCTGATATCAAATATTGAAACTGCTTTAAAGGATGGGATTGGATTAAGCATGGGCAATGACAATAAAGAAATGGCTCACAAACAAGTTTTACGGAGCCCGTGGATGAACAACAGCTCAAGAAATGTTCTATCCTGTATACAAAAAGGCCCCATAGGTGACACGCAGACCCAACACCAGGCTGTTCTCAAGCCACGTCTTGTTGTCTCTTCTGAACACGGCACTTTATATCCGAAACATACCTGAGAGTCGCCTCTAGAATGGAGTGCTCTCGATACTAACGCCCACCCATCAATGACCACCCGTCAATGACGTATTTCCGCCACCCATGTGCACCAGTGCAGGCAGGACTGGTTTCTTGAACTGCCTCCTGTATCGTGAACTGAAAGTAAATTCCCAGCCGTGCGCATTTACCGTCCTGGAAGACCCTCTCCACGTTCAGCCCGTAGGTAGCACACGTCTCGTAGTACGTGCACCGTTTCAGGTCGTTGGAGAGCTTCCTCGCTCTGGCGTCATCGATGACCCTCGGGTTAGTAGAACTTATGGCATCTGGAACAGAAGACCAAAAAAGTAACAGCACGGTGACAACGATAGCTCTGATGACTTCCCACACTCCCCACATCGCAGAAAACCGGTACCTTACTCAACAGAAATGTTATTAGTCTATGAATCTGGAGTTTGTAGAGCATAGTTTGCCTCCCAAATAACAGACTCAAACACCGGAGAAAGTTATTCATTAGTAGAAATGTGTTTTGCAGGAGAGCTTCTGAAACTGAAATTTTACAATGTTTAGAAAGAAGCAACAAGACTCAAATGTGGGTCTAGAAGACACATACTTCAGAAAGAAGGAAAAACCACACACACAGTCCCGATGTGCAGGTCCCCTTCTGTGCACCACGCAGGTGGCTAAGCATATTCCCGACACCGGCATTCTTCTTCCAGGCGTGGTCGCTTGTGCAATGACCCATTGAATAAATGCTCACTGAGCCCCCATTTGGGGTCTGTTCCTGTTCTATGCACAGGGACACCCCAGTGAATGAAACAGACATTCTAGCTGGCCAGAGAGGCAAGCAGAAAATAAAGACGAATGTGATGAATGGTTCTGAATGTAAGATGGCCACACTGTGAGTGATGCCGGGAAGGAGGTCAGGAGGCTTGGGTGAGTCTGGGTTTTAGAGCCCTTGCTAAAGGGATCAGGGAACCCTCACCTGCAGCAGGTGGGTGCAGTAGCCACTGCCTGGGGCAGAGTGCCTGAGGCAGAGGGCGGCAGGGCAGCTGGTGCATGTGAGGGAGATGCTGCAGGGGCGAGGCCTAGGGGGTGAGGGAGGTGTGCGGAGAGGGGAGCAGCGAGTCCCCTGAGGTTTTGATGGACCTCCTCAGGGTCACAGGTGACCTGAATCCACCCAATCTAAGTCATGTGTGCACATGGGGGTGTTTGAGCAGCTGCAGGGATGTTGGCACCAGTTTCCTAAAAAAGAAACTGAGCCATTTTTTTTTTAAGTTCAGCTGCCAGGATTCCCCACCCTCAGACCCGCCGCATTCATTCTGTTACTACTGAGTTACAGTGGCACATGGAACAGAGAAATGAGGAGCTGGAATGTGTACAGCCACGAGGCTTAGGGGAGAGAGAGGACTTTTCACAGACGGTTTTCTTTTTCTTTCTTTCTTTCTTTTTTTAAATGAGATGGAGTCTCACTCTGTCGCCCAGACTGGAGTACAGTGGCGTGATCTGGCTCACTGCAACCTCTGCCTCCTGGTTTCAAGTGATTCTCCTGCCTCAGGCTCCCAAGTAGCTGAGATTACAGGTACCCACCACCACGCCCAGCTAATTTTTTGTATTTTTAGTAGACACAGGGTTTCACCATGTTGGCCAGGCTGGTGTCAAACTCCTGGCCTCAAATGATCCACCCGCCTGGGCCTCCCAAAGTGCTGGGATTACAGGCGTGAGCCACTGTGCCCAGCCTTCAGAGACAGTTTCCTAACCTGAATCTTTTTCATAGGGCTTGAAGGCTCTTATGCCAAAGAAAACAGTAAACAACTCTTTAAACAAAAATCCACCAACAGGATTTCTCTACCAGCCAAAGAAATAGTAGCGAAGTTATACTGCAGAGCGACCACCTTTGACATTTTATTTTTGTGGAGGAAGGGCATTTGGCAACTCCATTTTCTGAAGAATATTTAAAACATGATGTCCTGAGGAATGTATTCAGTTTATCTTTTTCTCTTTTCTCATGTTATTTTCTCAACCCTATGAAATAGGTTTGGGCTAACGTTTCTCCATTACCAGAAGGCAACTGAACTCTGTAGTTAAGGGTTCTTCCTCTGACAATCGCCACTACAGGCTCCACAGGCTGCACCCCCATTCCAGGGATACGGTCAAAGGGCACCTCGTCCTGCCTTCTTGTCCTGCTGATTAGTAAATCTCACTTGCATTTCACAACATTTAAGAAAATAAATTTTTTTTTCTTTAAGTATAAACATTTCTTTTTAATTGTAGAAAGAAGTTAGAAGTCTATGAATGTTTCGATGTTCTAGGATAATTTTGAAAACACAGGCTACGTGGCATCCACCCGGCTTCCACGAGACCCTGACCTGCGGCCCAGCGATCCCGCAGCCCTTCCGTCCTCAGTGGCTCACTCGGTTTCTGTCAACTTTCCGCTTCAAAGGTGCACCATGGGAATCTCTGCCACTGCATGGAAACGGGCTTCTGCACTCGCATTTCGGTTCTATACCTGTCTCATTTTCATTCCACTTTTAACTCCGTAGCTTTTTACAGATCCTGCTTCTCCCTCAAATCCATTTAATTTGCAAGTCTTTAAAACAGAACCTGTTTAACGAACATTAGATGATTACCTCATTCATTCCCATCTTGTCCAATTACGAACATTCGTGCAGTCCTTAGTTACTGCCCAGAAAGAGCTCCTGCTGGCCGAGCTGCCCCTCCTGCCAGCGGGCGGAGGCCTCACCCCAGCCCAGGCATTCTTTGGCAATGAACCTAACTCCTGTTCGGTTCTCTCCCATCCCATATGCTCTGACCTCTCTGGCTGCCTACCCCAAACCAGCAGGAAGAGAAACGCCAGGTGCCCTCTTGGACAACGTGGTCCCTCTTTTGTCTCTGGCAGCCCAGGAAGCCAAGCCCCTGCAAAAGCAGCCGAGCACAGGCTTCACAGAGAGCAAGTCTGCAGGCAGGAAGCAAGCATTGCAGCAGGGACCCTCCGAGCCCACGTGCACGCCAGCTTCCTGCCACCGGGCTGCTGGGGTGCTCCTTGAAATCTAGGTAAGGACCAAGAGAATCCCACAGGTGAGGAATGCAGCCCTAATTGGAACTTTTTGTTCTGGTTCATCTGGGGGTGGTCCAGCTAAAAAGAGTCCCACAGGGAGGGCATGGGGCCGGCTTACCTGCTCGCCCAGGGAGGGTGTGGGGCCGGCTTTACCTCCCCACCCCGGAGGCCACCCTCGCACATGCAGACACTCCCCTGTGGTCTTCCTGGGCATCTTTCCACATCCGATCAACGGATGCTCATGGAATTCATGGGAATAAACGGGGGTACTTTCTTTTACTTAAGGACTTCAACTTCATTAGCGTTTCCCGAGAATCTAAGTAGCCATCCCGGCAGGAGGCTCGATGTGCCCCTCGGCTCAGGCAGGAGACTCAGAGGGATATGCTGTCTCCAGGGGCAGGGATAGTCGGGGGTGGGGTTCAGGATCCCAGGCAGGGACCTTGGAACACCAGTCACACATTGAAATATGAGGGACAAAAGCAGCCACCATTAGACGCCTATCACCTACCCATGGATGCACTGAGTGTCTTTGGGGAATTCCTGTTGAACCCCACCAGAGCCCCGGGGGTCACGGTCACCCAGCAGCAGCCAGTCACACGCAGGTGTGTGTGGTCCCAACTCCGGGGATCTCAGACACTCCCTTCCCACTGGCGGAACATGGCGGTGTACTCAGAACTCAGAGAACAGACACTGGTTGCAGAGAATCTCTCCAGGCTGGGAACTTCACTGCCACTTTTCACAGTGAGTCCAAGCAAAAGCCCATTCTGAGTCCTAAAATCAAACCTCCTGAGCTCCAGCAGCCCACGAGCAGTGTCTGCATAGCCCCAAAGGAGTCTGCTCAGAAACGCCACGGTCAGGCCTGCGGGAAGGGGAGCTTATTTGGAATTTCTCTATTCGACTTCAAGGCAGCTTTAAGCAGAATCTGCTGTGGATGAGCATTCACTTGAAAACACAATGAGGAATTTTCAAGATGCCACCTCAAATACGGCAATTCTGCATTCTCACAAGAACCAAGGACTTTTTGGTGGTGCGGCCTTGTCTCCTGGTGAACACTAGAGGGCGTGTTAGGCCTAAGAATCCCTCCTCCCTTCTGTGTTAGGATAAACAGAGCCACCAGTGGCCACTCCGCGTGTTCTTTTTTAAAAAAAAGAAAAAAAAAGGTGGACAGGTGCTTTCCAGGAAGCCCAACTCTTAACACCTCCCATCTATCACACTGAGAAGATGTTTTTAGTTTTTCCGTTTTTTTTTTTTTTTCTTGAGATCGACTCTCACTCTGTCTACCAGGCTGGAGTGCAGTGGCACAATCTTGGCTCACTGCAACCTCCACCTCCCCAGATCCAAAAGATTCTCCTGCCTCAGCCTCCCAAGTAGCTGGGATTACAGGTACCCGCCAGCATGCCTGGCTTTTTATTTTATTTTATTTTTTTGAGACAGAATCTTACTCTGTCACCCAGGCTGGAGTGCAGTGGTGCGATCTCAGCTCACTGCAACCTCTGCTTCCTGGGTTCAAGTGATTCTCCTGCCTCAGCCTCCTGAGTAGCTGGTATTACAGGCATGCGCCACCACGCCTGGCTAATTTTCTATTTTTAGTAGAGACGGGGTTTCACCATGTTGGCCAGGCTGGTCAACTCCTGACTTCAAGTGATCCACCTCCCTGGGCCTCCCAAAGTGCTGGGATTACAGGTGTGAGCCACCATGTCTGGCTGCAAAATGCTTTTAAGTTTATGCCACACTATTTATCTGGGCTTTTGTAGGTTCCTGATCAAGCTGCCAATCATTTGTCTGCGCAATCTCCTACTTAGACCACACCCAGTGCGGTATGGACAGCTGACGTCCTAAAGAGAAACGTCTTGCATCAGAGCATGGACGGGCATGTCAGATAGGCTAATTTTAAAAGAATTTGCAAGACAGTCTATTAACAGCCACAACAAAATGAAGGGATATACAATTTTTCCTGACAGGATTATTTGTCAGTTACCCATATTTCTGACAAAGCAGTTTTAAAGCTAACCTCCACCTGGCTTTTAAAAACATCCTATGTGACATCGTAGACCCTAGTGGCAGACCCCAGCACAGCCATGGGTCTGTGATCAAGAGCGAGGATGCTGTGCCTCAGTCCATGTGACAGCCACTCTACTAACAGACCAAGCGTGAAGTGACCTGAGGGAAAACAAGAAACGTGCCCAGTATGATTCTACGCTCTCTGAGGGGCCTGCTAGATTAAATATGAGATACAGATCACAAGACGGTGACAAATAGAACTTAATAAACGGAACTGCTCTTATGTTGAAAATCAGCACTATTTTCAAGATGCACTGAAAGATAAGCTTTAAAAGATTGTTTATAAATCATTTTATAGAACGGAGAATTAAAATACAGCAGAAAACAGTATATGTATTTGACTATATATGTTTATATACAAAACATATACACACACACATATATATATATATATATATTTTTTTTTTTCCCCAGAAAACAAGGGAAAATAGATTTATTTTTCCTAAAGCACCTAGGATATGTGTGTGTGTGTTGTTTTCAGGTTGTTAAATGAGTGGTTTCACCATAAAATCCAATCAGGAAATGTGATAATTTCAGTTTCACGATTTTTCCCAAAAAAAGTGAGCGTTCAGTAGGCAATTTTTCCTTTTTTAAAGCATTTTTAAACTCCCCCATACTGAAAATACGTAACTGTTAGAATCCTCTGAAAACCACCTGCACACGAGCATCACTCACCCTGGGTTCCCACGAGAACCAGAGGAATCTCGCTCGTGTTCCGATAGCTGGCCATTCGACTGTAGTAGTGGTAAACGGTCTGGAAACTTATTTCATCCTCCAAGCTGAAGACAAATATAACAGCGTCCACCCACATGGCGAACTACGGAGAGAAGAAGGGGAGGAGAGCAGGAGCTGAGTGAGAAGGCTTAATTAAGAACAGACGTCTGGACGGTGGCGGGCAGCAGGGGCTGCAGGAATCCCCTCGGTCGCGTGCTGGGTGCCTGACTTGACCGTCACCGTCACACACTGTCACGGCACCAACGTCCTCCTCCTGAGCACACCGTGGGCGGTGTTCCCCTCGGGAATGGGCCCTTCATCCTGCTCCCACCCAAGACGCTCTGTCTTCAGAGGACACAAACCACACAGTCTCCCCGCGGTCCTCATGCTCCTGGCCTGTCCACCTGCTGCCCCGACCAGCCATGGTGGCCCCGCAGACAGAAGGCCAGCCCCACCTCCTGCCAGAGCCTCTCAAACCCCGAGGCTTTCCACTGTACTCTCAACCGCTTAAGGAAGCCTTGCTGGACCCCTCAGGCCTGCTCAGAACCCCCCCACCCCACAATCCTCCCCAACTCGCCACCGCAGCGGCCGGCCTACTCTGCCAAAGGGTAAAGATTCAACCCAGGCTCAGCCTTGGCTGAACTCCTGCAGCACCCCTGCAAGAAAATGACTACTTATTTTCAGGAAAATTAACAAAACTTAGGGAAGAAAGCCTGACTCTTGCCATTTTGTTCTTGCTTTGCTGTACTCATTTTATTCTTGTCTTGCCAGTTTAACCTACATCACATCCTCTTTCTGACAAATACCCACACTGTCAGGCATATATTAATACCTCATTTAGTACCAATAACCATCTTGCAAAACTGGAGCTGAGTGGAGCCTCCCTGCAGGGCAGAGGCTTCCCACACTCACTGCAACTGGCTCAGCACATCTGACATCAGGTCTATCAGGCAACAAAGGTCCTTCTCTTTCCAAGCGGAAATTTGAAAAACAAAACCGAAATGCATCCTGCTTCCCTTCTCTCTAAAAGCAGCTGTAGTTCCTAGATAGGTTTCTATGGCCAAGGTTATCACCTCTAATACATTTGGGGAAAGTTTTTAATGGGTTAAACTCTGACTTCAGGCATATAAGTGAAAAGTGTATTCAGTTACATGTAAAACGTTTACATGAGAAAACTTAACCCAAAGTTCTAATGATAAATACAAAATTAAATGAGAATGAGGACTTGAAAACAAAGAAGGCTGGGAGAGACCTGGGAAGACCGCGATGGCAGCTCCCACAGAGTGCAGCAGGACCTAGACTGATGAAAGGCATCTCCTTTTCCTCTTCTCTGCCTTGAGGAAGGCTCTTCCTGTCTCTTCCAAACACGTGGGAGGAGCACACTCCCCCTGCGCCACGAAGACCGCTGGCTGACCGGAACCAAACCTCAGTTCCCAAACCGGGAGCTGAAGCCCATCTGAGCGTCCACCCGGAGGAAACATGCACGGCGGCCGTCATCTCCTAAGGGTGCATTCTGACTTCCACGCTCCTTGTGTGGGGGGTACCCAATACATAACCCCCCACTCTAACATGTTCACCAGCAGAAAACTGAACCTATGCTTTGGGTTTTTGTTTGTTTGTTTTTTGAGACAAAGTCTCGCTCTGTCGCCCAGGCTGGAGTGCAGTGGTGAGATCTCGGTTCACTGCAACCGCCTCCTTCTGGGTTTAAGCGATTCTGCTGCCTCAGCCTCCCAAGTAGCTGGGATTACAGGTACACGCCACCACGCCTGGCTACTTTTTGTATTTTTAGTAGAAATGGGGTTTCACCATGTTGGCCGGGCTGGTCTCGAATTCCCGACCTCAGGTGATCCGCTTGCCTAAGCTTCCCAAAGTGCTCGGATTACAGGTGTGAGCCACTGCATCTAGCCTCTTCTGTAGATTTTTCTATATCTATAAGCTTTCGTGCTTCATATTCAATTTTGTGCTTCATATACTGCTAAGACTTGCTCCTTAATTGTGGAGAAAAAAAGCTTGTTTCCAGTCACTCAAAACATTTACATGCTGGGGAAAACGGAAAATAAACCCAGGTGATTCTAAATGTTACCTACTTCTTTCTCCGATCACCAGCCACAGGAGGGCCCTTGCACCCAAGAGTTCCTGTGCAGCAGAACACAGTCCTATGCCCTCAGTGGGACTAAGAAAGAGGTGACTTTGATCAGCATCACAAACCGAGGATCCTGTCAGTCAGACCTCTAACTCTGCCCCGCCTTACTATAAACTACCAGATGGTCACTGAACACGGTCTTATACCTTTAGTGGGACTAAGAACGAGCTGACTTTGATCAGCATCACAAACCGAGGATCCTGTCAGTCAGAACTCTAACTCTGCCCCGCCTTACTATAAATTACCAGATGGTCATTGAACGTGGGCTCAAACTGCTTTGCAACTAAGTTTTCACTTTTAACATGCCTTCAAGGTGTTTCCTTATTATGATCAGTGTATGGTATCGTTAATGCTAAGAAACAAAATGTTACACACTTTAACATCTTTGAAATCAGAATGCACCTAATTATTGCGGCTGTTTCACAGTTTAATTGGCAGCATTCTCCCTTTGAATATTGGTACATCCTACGGTCACTGGTGTTTTAGAGTCAATAGCACATGGCAAATCTGTGGCATCTTCTGTATAACCACACAGCACTCCGATGTGTGGAGTACCAGACCTGAGGCCTAAGAAGTCCTGTATTCAGTATCTTTCACTTTCATCATCTTACAATCCTATGCTGCATGTTCACAAAAAGACAGGTCCAGGAGATAACGCCAAAAAAATCTTTGACATTCACTTTGCATTTACTAGCTCCTGGCTCCTTTCAAGTGTTTACTCGGTAAATTATGCTTCAAGTAAAACAAAACAGGTTAAAGAAACCAAAAAAAGAGATCTTCCACACTCATGCTTTGTTATTTCCAGAATGCCCATCTTTCCAGGAACTTCCAAAGAAATCATAATATGCTTCATACCAGCTTTCGGTGGAGACCGCCTTGCTTGGGCCAAGGCCAGGGAGGCACAGAGGCGCCAACGCCTACAGTTAGCAGAGACAGAGAGAAGACGGGACTCCAAATTCCGCCCAGCAAGCTCTCTACATCTCACTGCTCTAGAGATCACACCACTCAAAGGAAAAGGCCAAAACACAAACCAAACTACAGAAATGTCCAGATGTCATTTCAACTGGGTTCCCCAACCAGGGCAGGGGTGCGTTTCCTGCCTTTTTAAAAACACAGAAAGTGAAAAGCTATCATATAAACCCAACTTCTCTGTAGGATTTAGTCTGGGCAGGGAGGTGGGGAGAGAAAAGACTTAGCTTCTTAGAGATGAGAAAAAATGCAGTGACAGGAAACATTTTTCAAGGGACTTCTACTTTTTTGGAAAGCACGTCACTGGTTTCTAGAAGCACGTGTTGCATGAAACCTTAGAAAACAAAGGGAAACAGCTGGCTTGGGGCGTGCGCGTGTACTCACCTGCGCCTCCGGGGGGCCCCCTTCGTCTCTAATCAGCAGCAGATAGCTCTGTCCGTCAACGACAATCTCTTTCTTGAACCTGCCACCTGCCACACACACAAAGCACCTCGTTACACAAGAACAGCAGAGAGTGAGGAGGGCAGACAGACGTGGGCTTCGCTTGTGGAAAAATACACCCTAGGCTGTCGCCCTGGAGGCAACCAAGTATTTAGGATATCGCCAGCCAACGCTGAATTTTAACAGAGCTGAACTCAGATTTAAATGTTCGTCTTTAAGAACCCGTGTGCGTTTCCAGTTAGAAGGCACAGCCTCCTTTGCAATGCCAGTCACTCGTGGCCGAGAAGTGTGGACTTTTCATGTGGGCTTTCTATGTAAATTCAGGAATTCTCACTCACTGGGAAACAGAGCACATCAAAATTGTCATTCTCTTGTTGGGTTCACGAAACTGAAATAAATTTTTCATGCTTAACAGGTGCCTGATCTGCAACGTCTTGGTAAATGACAGGGCCGAGAACCTGTATTCTCCTCAAGAGAAACCCAGTTCTTGAAAGGGAGACATAGAACATCATGAGAATGGTGTTTCCAGAGTCACAGGCCACAATTAGGAGGGGGACGCTTCACTACTACACACGGGTTAGACAGAAACTACTGGATGGGACCTCCACACAGGTGGAGACAGCAGAGCAGCAGCTGACAGGAGGCGTTAGAGACCACGCGGGTTAGCGGGAGACCACCGGGACCCTGCAGGAACAGAGGAGACCACGGGGGGGGGAACGGGCATGAGGGGCCCGGTGCTACCCTGGATGTCGCGGCCCCTGACGCTCTCAGGAGGGGATGGTACAAGGTGGCTGCAGTGCCCAGCCGGCCCTCTAGGCCAGCCCTGCTCCTCCTCGGCAGCGGGAAGGACTCCACCCTGGCTCCTCTGCCTTCTCCAACGACAGACGCCCCCTCCAGATCCTGGGCTCTGAGACCACGCTAGGGAACCCTCACAGGGACTCGGAACTCTCGTTTTAGAGAGGCGAAGGCACGCATCAGCTCCTAGCGCTCCTCTTCTGCTCCTCTGTGCGGACGTCTTCCAGAAACCCTGTCTAAACCCCAAATCACTGGATCCAGAGGACTGGATAGTGCTCCACTGGCAGCCCAGAGGCTACCTGCCGGCTCCTCTGCCACCCAGAGACACGTCTGATTCCCTCCCCTGCGACAGGAACCTTCCCTCCTAGAATCCCGGGTCTGAACCACATCAGTGCCCGAGAAGCAAAAAATCGGAGTACCCATCCCAGCCTGAAAGTGTCCGAGGCCCTCCAGACAGGCAGCTACCGTCTGAGGCCACAGAGGGCTGACTGGGGTACTGGCCCGTTCCCGCAAACTCCCACCACGCTTGTGTGCTCACACTCAACACCTATGCCACCATCACAGGCAGCTGCATTTGCTAAAGCAAATAAATCTGCTGTTCAGTTCACTCAATAACACAACAATGAAGAAAACCTTTTGATATTAAAGCAGGTAAACTCTCATTTTGCTGTCCCCCCATCACTGAAACAAGAGGGTAGGGCCTGCTGGAAACAGTCAGGCTGAGGTCCATTAGCAGGGGACAGAGCCAGGCCAGTTAGGATGCTGGGTCCAGACAGGGTGAGGCCCAGCTGCACAAGGGGCCCAAAGACTCAGGGTCCCCGAATCGAGAGTGCTCACAGGCAAAAAGGAAACTGCTTTTCTAGCAGAGCTTGTTGTCATCATGAAACAAGCTGGGAAACATATGACACAGGTGGACGTCCCCACGTATGTGAAGCTGATGCAGACGGTCGCCCCCAGACCCCGATACTGGTCTAGCTCTGCCTGAACCCTGGCTCTGCCACACACAGCTGTGTAGCCTCGCCTCACCTCTCTCCACCTCAGTGTCCCCATATGCAAAGAGGATGATGTCCTAGCAGGTGAGGAGTAACGAGTTGACACAAGCACCCTGAACAGTACCCAGCCTGGTCTTACTCCAAATTTTTGCCAAGGTTCTTTTAACCTGCTTTTATAAAAGTCATATTTAACACTGAATAAACCTGCTTACAACAGAAAAATCTGCAACAGTGATAGCAATATTATTTCTCTTTAAAAAAACCTTTTAAAAAGAGATGCTGGAAACCTGCTATATCTTGGAGACATGAATCGAATGTGACCCTTTTAAGAAAAATAACATTTGAGGCTGAATGTGGTGGCTCACACCTGTTATCCCAGCACTTTGGGAGGCCGAGGCAGGTGGATCACCTGAGGTCAGGAGTTCGAGACCAGCCTGACCAACATGGTGAAACCCTGTCTCTACTAAAAATACAAAAATCAGCCAGGTGTGGTGACTGGTGCCTGTAATCCCAGCTACTTGGGAGGCTGAGACAGGAGAATTGCTTGAACCTGGGAGGCGGAGGTTGCAGTGAGCCAAGATCACGCCACTGCTCCAGCCTAAGACTGTGTCTCAAAAAAAAATAATAATAAAAAAAATAAAAATAAAAAAAGAAAAAGAAAAAGAACATTTGAAAAGGAAATCTGTTACTCTTTATTTGGAGAAAAATCTCCTTCATATCCTGATCTGTGCATGGCCCCAGGTACCAGCCCACCAGGTTCAAATCCCTGTCTAGCCCTCCCTGGCTGGGTGACCTGCGGCAAATAACTCAACTGCTCGGTGCCTCAGTTTCCTCACCTGTGAAATGGGGGTAAACAGAGCCTTCCTTAATGAGTTAAAGCATGAAAAGCACTTAGAATCCTGCTTGGAACGGAGAGCTGAGTGAACAGGTATCCTCATCACTCCCACCCCACTTACCTCACACCCCCAAGTATTTTCATCTCCCTTCGCTCTCCTTCCCTACCCCTCACATTCATTGAAATCGTCTACACTTCTTCGCTAGGTTTCTGCACAAGTTTCCCACCTGTCTGCGCCCACTCCCGGCCTCAGCTCCTCCTTCCCCTAACATATAGCACAGCAGAGGGACCTCACCGCAACATCGTCCTGACCCTGTGGCCTGAGCCCCCCATGTGCTCCTCTGTGCCCTCCGGACGCTGATTGCCCTACAGGGCCCTGGCTCCAGCCCTGCTCTCTGACGGCTGCCCCAGATACAAGAGCACGTGGAAGCCCTCCCTGCTAGATGAACCCTAGGGTTCAACTTTGCTGAGGCTTTGTCTTGTCGAGGCACGCTGGCCCCAGGTCCCATTCCTTAATCACTAGACTGTGTCACCTCCAGAGCAAGAAGGGAGGAGTGGGGCCTGTCCCAGGGGTGCTGCAATGCCAGTGTCCCTTGGCTGCCTACCTCCCTGGGAGTGGGAACTTGGGGAGTGTCCCCACCCAGCTCTCGTGGAATGACCATGACGCCTTGGCAGAGGACCCTCCCTGCTGCATTCGGGTGAGTACACGCAGGACGGATTTCACGTCCATCCTCTCCTCTGCTTCCTCTAACGTGTTTTTGCAGAGTCACGTTCACAAGTGAAGAAGCTTCCAGGTGGCTGAATCACAACATTCAAGTTACAAAAGCTTCCCTAAGAGGGCACTGAGCCTTCTCCCTTCTGCTCTTCTAAAGTCTCTGGCTTTGTGACCTCAAGCAAAGGACTCCAGGCCCAACTTTCATTGCCTCTAAAAGCAGCAGTGATTCCTTCCCTCATCAGCAAGGTCTCTTCGAATCCTAAAGTTGGTTTACATTTCCCTCCCCAGATACACAGTACAATTAACAGTTCTTTTCAGCATTTTACAGTTTCAAACACTAGATACTGGTAATTGATTTGCATGATTTTTTTTTTTTTTGTATTACCCTTTAGAAAGCAAAAATTAAATACTGCTAAGTATTTGCCACAAACCCAAAGGTGAATAAGAAGATAAAAGTCAGCCAGGTGCTCAAGCGACCAGGTTGTAAGAATTCAAGAATGTCTTTAAAAAGGTCCTGCAGGGCACTACTGATAGGAGCAGACTCAGCTCAATAGCACCACTGGGCCTTGAGAAGCCTGGGCTGGCAGGTAGGTAACACTTTAAAATTCATTTTCTGCACTTGAACCACTTTAACCGCAGAAGGAGAGCCTTAGGATGACAGCATGGTTGGCAACAAGCTGGTATTCTGCCAGCACCACCACTCGCGTCATTTTAAATTCAACCCCACCATTTCATCAGATCTCATCCCAGTCATTAGATTTTTCATTGTTGTTGTTGTTGTTGTTGTTGTGTGTATGTGTGTCTGAGACACAGTCTCACTCTGTTGCCTACGTTGGAGTGCGGTGGCACGGACAGGGTCACTGCAACCTCGACTGCCTAGGCTCAAGAGATCCTCCCACCTCAGCCTCCCGAGTAGCCGGGACCACGGACACGCGCCAGCATACCTGGATAAATGAGATGGGGCCTCATTACCCAGGCTGGTCTTGAACTCCTGGGCTCAAGTGGTCCACCAGCCTCAGCCTCCCAAAGGGAGATCTTTTTTCCACCAAAATTTTAGAGGACATCACCAAATGCTACATCCAGTTTCAAGCTGAATGTCGCTTTTTAAATGCCTATTTTGTCCCCATTTCCATGTATTTTCCTGCAGGTCTGTTTCGCCCACCTGGATCCTCCCAGCACCCGATGCACACAGCTTGGCCCATGGCCCATGTGACAGATCTGCCATGAGTGATGTGCAACCATCTCTGCTGCCAATTATGTTGACATAACATTAAATCGTATCAGGATAACTTCATTCTCAAAAAGGGTTTTCAGTCTCCCCAAACCTGACATCCCTGTCAGACACGCATCTGGCCCAGGCACACCTGTGAACAGGTGCTAGGAGAGCTCTGCAGGCAGGGGCAAGCGTCACCCTGGAACCGTAGCACCTCCCAATGGCGGGCACCCCCAGGCTGAGGAACCAGACAGATCAGCCGCAGCTGCCTGACCCTGAGGTGGAACCAGGTTGCTGGGCAGCTGTGACCGCATCTCAGTGAGAGGGGAAAACAGAGTCCCAGTCTCACTGAAATCTGTGCTTCCCCAGGACACAAGGATGTCACTGGAGGTAAACAGCATCACACGGAATCCTCAGCCTAGAGCAGAGGGAGGTGAGAACAGAACCCGCATCCTTTCTGGGCTTGGCTTTCTGTACTG